ACCATTACCTATGTGGACAGTATCAGTGACATTACCTATGGGGACAGNTTCAGTCAGCATGGTTGATATAATGGTAGAAAGATTGATGTAAACTTAATTGTGTGGTTGGTAATAAATAATATAGTTAGTACCCAGTTACTATAGTCAGTCTCCAGTTGATATATAGGTAGTAATATAAGATTGGTATACAGTTAGTGTGGTTGGCATATAGTTAGATAAGTTGGTAAACAGTAGTTAGTATACATTTAGTAAGGTTAGTGTTCATTAGTGCAAAAGCATGACAGAGAAACAATTAAATGTTGGAATTACTTTTGCAAACTTCTTGTTCAAATTAAAGAAAGTTAGACAACTAATGTTCTTTTAAAATATGAGTTTTATCAATAAAATCAAAACTTTGTTAAATCTACTGAAACAATAGGATAAGCATTTTAAATAGTGAGTCTGACAGTAAAACCAAGATTTGGAATCTTTAAAAGTGACAAATGATATGAAAGTTTTAAATTAAAATGATGTTAAAATTACAATGGACTGAACACAATTATTGTCATAAGTTCCTAATCTTTGAAACAAATACTAAGTGATGTTTTAACTATATAATGTTTACCAGTTTGGTCTGTTATCATTGAGCTATGATTAGGATGTTATTGTATGTTTAAAGAACCCACCCACAGAGAACCAGGAGGCAGGCCAATTTGACCTTCACTGGGCTATCCCAGCAATCTCTCCCTCAGAGCGATACTTTCTGTCACAGCTAATCTCCAGTCCCACCAAAGAAGTATGTAGATCACAACTTTTTCTTATATTAATTGTCAAGTAAGAATGACAGAAACAAATCTATTGTGTTTACCCAAAAGTTAGAGGGTAATAGCTCTATTCATAACCAACCGCAGAAACATTAAATCTTTCAAAGATCGCGTTCTCATTGAACTGAAAAGTTGAATTTAATCAATTCAATCAATATCGGGACAAAACTTTATCAGCCTTAAAAAAAGTTTGGCATTTCTAAAGATGCTTGTCTTTGCTCAGTTTCCTATGAGGTCAGCATCAGTGACATTACCTATGGGGACAGTATCAGTGACATTACCTATGTGGACAGTATCAGTGACATTACCTATGGAGACAGTATCAGTACCATTACCTATGTGGACAGTATCAGTGACATAACCTATGTGGACAGTATCGGTGACATTACCTATGTGGACAGTATCAGTGACATTACCTATGGGGACAGTATCAGTGACATTACCTATGTGGACAGTATCAGTGACATTACCTATGGGGACAGTATCAGTACCATTACCTATGTGGACAGTATCAGTGACATTACCTATGTGGATAGTATCAGTGACATAACCTATGAGGTCAGCATCAGTGACATTACCTATGTGGACAGTATCAGTGACATTACCTCTGTGGATAGTATCAGTGACATAACCTATGAGGTCAGCATCAGTGACATTACCTATATGGACAGTATCAGTGACATTACCTATGGGGCTAGTATCAGTGACATTACCTATGGGGACAGTATCAGTGATTACCTATAGTGACAGTATCAGTGACATTACCTATGTGGACAGTGTCAGTGACATTACCTAAGTGGACAGTATCAGTGACATTACCTATGTGGACAGTGTCAGTGACATTACCTATGTGGACAGTATCAGTGATATTACGTATGGGGACAGTATCAGTGACATTACCTATGTGGACAGTGTCAGTGACATTACCTAAGTGGACAGTATCAGTGACATTACCTATGTGGACAGTATCATTGACATTACCTATGGGGACAGTATCAGTGACATTTCCTATGTGGACAGTATCAGTGACATTCCCTATGGGGACAGTATCAGTGACATTACCTATGGGGACAGTATCAGTACCATTACCTATGTGGACAGGATCAGTGACATTACCTATGTGGATAGTATCAGTGACATTACCTATGTGGACAGTATCAGTGACATAACCTATGTTGACAGTATCAGTGACATTACCTATGTGGGCAGTATCAGTGACATTACCTATGGGGACAGTATTAGTGACATTACCTATGTGGACAGTATCAGTGACAATACCTATGTGGATAGTATCAGTGACATTTCCTATGTGGACAGTATCAGTTACATTACCTATGGGGATAGTATCAGTGACATTACCTATGGGGACAGTATCAGTGATTACCTATAGTGACAGTATCAGTGACATTACCTATGTGGACAGTGTCAGTGACATTACCTATGTGGACAGTATCAGTGATATTACCTATGGGGACAGTATCAGTGACATTACCTATGTGGTCAGTATCAGTGACATTAGCTATGTGGACAGTATCAGTGACATTACCTATAGTGACAGTATCAGTGACATTACCTATGTGGACAGTATCGGTGACATTACCTATGTGGACTATATGGTCTGTATATAGTTATATGGTCTGTATATATTTTTACACTTGATATACAGGTAGTATGGTATGTATATAGTTTTACACTTGGTATACAGTTATATGGTCTGTATGTAATTTTACAGTTGGTATACAGTTATATGGTCTGTATTTAGTTTTACAGTTGGTATACAGTTATATGGTCTGTATATAATTTTACAGTTGGTATACAGTTATATTGTCTGTGTACATTTGGTATGGTCGGTATACAGTTATATGGTCTGTATATAGTTATATGGTCTGTATATATTTTTACAGTTGATATACAGGTAGTATGGTATGTATATAGTTTTACACTTGGTATACAGTTATATGGTCTGTATATAGTTTTACAGTTGGTATACAGCTATATGGTCTGTATACAGTTAGTATACAGCTATATGGTCTGTATCTAGTTTTACAGTTGGTATACAGTTATATGTTCTGTATATAGCTTTACAGTTGGTATACAGTTATATGGTCTGTATACAGTTGGTATACAGCTATATGGTCTGTATCTAGTTTTACAGTTGGTATACAGTTATATGGTATGTATATAGTTTTACAC